TTGACTGCTGCCTCTGTGATTGTTGATCCAAGAAAAAAGGAAGTCTTTGACAATTTCAATCTTTTCTTCATTTATCATGATGCTATTTACTAGTCCAGTTGTGAGAATCTGTTTTCTTTACATGGAGGTGCAATCCATACTGAAATCTGTTGTCTTGGATCTTCATCAATAAGTATTTTAAGTCCACTTCACTTCAGCAAGCAAGGTAGTATAACTTGTATATCTCAGGTTGTTAATGAGTTCTCCTCCAATCCTCATGCCACAATCTTCTTCATATACTCCAGCTTCTAGGATTATGTAATGAGAATTCAGACTGAAAAAGAATGATGAAAGAACACAACCCTGGTTGCGCACCGTTTTTTATTTTAAGCCATTCAGTATCCCTTTGTTCTGTTTGAACAACTGCCTCTTGGTTTATGTACACATTCTTCAAGAGCACGATTAAGTGTTCTGGAACACCCATACCTCGCAATGCTGTCCATAGCATAGTTTATCATGATCTACATAGTCAAAAGCCTCTGCATAGTCAATTAAGCAAAAGAAAACAAAACACCTTCCTGGTATTATCAGCTTTCAACCAAGCATCATCTGACGTCAGCAATGATATCCCCAGCACTTAGACTCCTTAGGAAGTATACACCAGTTTTGTTATTGTTAAATGCCTTCGAGTTGGTTCCGATTCATAGTGACCCTGCACAGGGTTTCCAAGGAGTGGTCTGTGAATTTGAACCGCTGACCTTGTAGTCTATTGCTTATCCTACAGCATTATTCAAAGTGGAATAGATGGCTGATACATCCATGAGGTCTCTGCTAAAAATTTTTTAATGTTTTATTTTCCCACTAGTGACAATCTCATACCTACATAGTACAACTCAGTGTAAAGAAAACAGAAATCCTCACAACTGGACCAATAAACATGACAAACAGAGAAAAGACAGAAATTGTCAAGGATTTCATTTTACTTGGATCCACAATCAACACTCATGGAAGAAGCAGTCAAGAAATCAAATGGCCGATGACATGGAGAGATGGAGCGGCTGGGAACTCTAGACCCAGAGAGGGAAATGGGCTGTGTGCTGACAACCAGGGGGCAGGTTTGTGAAGTGTACCATTTGGTTGACTGATGATACATGGAGGGGACTGTAACCATGGCAATGTAAAGATATATGATAGGATGAATGTAAAGCTAATGTTCTCCCATGTAAACTACCACATAATTCACACACACACAAAAAGAACGAAATCAAATGGCATATTGCATTAGGCAAATATGCTGCATGAGTTCTCTTTAAAGTATTGAAGATCAAAGATGCCACTTTAAAGACTCAGGTCAGACTGACTCAAGGCATAATATTTTCAAATGCCTCAGATGCATGTGAAAGCTAGACAATGAATAAGGAAGACTCTAGAAGAGTTGATGCATAGATTGTCCGAAGACGAAACAAATCACTCTTAACAGAATGCTCCTTAGAATCAAGGAGAGGGAAACTGTGTCTCATGTACTTTGGAGACGCTATTAGGAGGAACCAGTTCTTGGACCGGGAGAAAGGTCAGGCTTTCTACTCCTGTAAAGATTTACAGCCTTGGAAACCCTATACAGGGTTGCTATGAGCTGGAACTGACTCAACGGCATATCACGACCATGACCATCATGAGTTCTTAGAAAGGACATCACGCTTGATAACGTAGAGGGTCATGGAAAAAGAGGGCGATCCCCAATGAGATGGACTGACACACAGCTGCACCAATGGGTTCAAATAACAGTTGTGAGGATGGTGTGGGGCCGCAGCGTATGGTTCTGTTGCAAAGTTGCTATGAGTCAGTCAGAGCCTAAGTGCCCACTTAACAACAAACAGTGCTACCTAACTTGTGTTTGAGCTTTTATTTATGGTGACAAAGAGACTCAGCAGTACAATTCCAACTGTCCAGGTTAGTTAAGAACAGAGTCATTTTTAAGATGCAAATCTGTGACATTCATGAGTTAAATGACCTCACAGCTTAATTTGAAAACTAAGATTTTGAAAAACTTCAAAAAGAGAAAAGTGGTAAAATACTCACATGGCTTAGCCGAGTGCTGACTGTCACACTTAAAAGTCCCTGCACTTTAACCATTACTACCAGATTCTCAGTACACTAGAAATTCAGTTTCAGCAAAATACCATGCCACATTGAATAACCTAGATGACTGGTTTTGTTTGTATTTGTTTTAGTTTTATTGTTGTGTGCCATTGAGTCGGTTCCGAAAGTGACCTTATGTAGGGGTTCTGATAGTAAATGGTGGGTATGAACTGCCCACCTTGCAGTTAGCATTCCAGTGTTCATCCTACAGTGCCACACCAAGGCTCTGTTTTAGTTTTAAAATGGCATCAAAGCTATGAGATAGTTCCTATTTATTTTTATGTTTGCACATACCTAGTAATATAACCCCCCACAAAAAGTAGGGGTCTACATAGCTTTCTTCCCTTAAGAAGGGTACACAAGACAACTCAGGGTACAAAATAATAAGTTAGGTCTTACGCTGTGCAGAGCCCATCTCTTTATCTTAAGTTTTCAGAAACAATAACTTAAACTACCATAAACTCAAAAAGTGTTTTCGCTGAATACTTTAATTGAAAGGTCGAATGGGTACAAGCAATAACCCAATTTGTTATATCATTTAACTGTTCTCCCAAATAGAACAAGTGAATGGCCTAAAGAAACAGAGAAGTGACGCTGCACATTTTCCTAATGTTTAGGTGGTACCCATGCTAACAGCATTTATGATCTGCAGCCAATCTTTAATTTAAGGACTTTTATATCCCTAACACACTTTGGTATTAATGGCAGTAGCCGTAAAAACCAAAGGACCATAAATAAAATTTTAATGCAGCCACTCACCAAGAAGAAATACTCAAGATATCCTTAACATTGTTAGAAGATGTAACACTGGACTGTTTAAAGCAAAAGCATTTCGCTCTAGAAATTACCAATTCACACTTGGACAAAAATAGAACAAATCCTGTAAAAGACTTGTGCTATTGTGCAGAGGTCATATCTGAGGATGATTTCAGTTTACATCAGGCCACCATAGGCACTGGTAAGTGCTGTCAAGTCAGTTCCTTGTGGTGCTGTGGGATAAAGCACTTGACTACAAGGCTGATGGTTCAAACTCACCAGCCACTCCTTAGAAACCCTATACAGAGTTGCTAAGAGTCAGAACCAACTCTACAGCACTTAACAACGACATAAGGTTTCCGAGGAAAAACTGGTGGGTTAGAACTGCCGACCCTGTGGTTCAAACTGACCTTGAGGTTAAGTGCCTACCCTACAGTTCTACACCAGGACTCTACCACAGACATACTGAAGAAAAAACAAGGAAATAACAGTAGCATATAAATATCCTTTTTTTTTTTTTTTGTAAATGTGCAAACTTATCCAGCTGTGTTTTTTCACTTTAAGTAGCATAGTGGTTAGGAATCAGGCTGCGAACCACAAGGTCAGCAGTTCGAAACTACCAGCTGTTTTGCAAGAGAAAGATGAGGCTTTCTGCTCCCGTAAAGATTTACAGCCTTGGAAACCCTGTACAGGGTCGCTATGAGTGGAAAGCAACTCCACGGCATATAACAACAATTCCCCCAATAACGTGGCAACCTGGCCTATTATTTATTCTACTGATATTTCCTTGTTTTTTCTTCAGTTACTTTACAAGTAGTATTTTCAAAGGCCCTTCCAACTCAGGAAATGTTAAGATGGTTAAGGACGTGTATGGAACGAGTTTAGAACAGTAATCTAATTTCTGACTCGATTAGGAGGATGCGTGCACTATTAAACAGAAACCTTTATAAAATCCAAGCATGAGACTAAGTCCTATTAATGATAATGACATCTGGGCTTTTGTTCATACTTTTTTTTTTAGAAAACATGTTGGTAATGCGCTCCATAAACATAAAAAAACAAAACAAAACAGTGGACACTGTTAGCCAGAAATAGGAACTCAGGAAGTCAGAGCATCAGAAATAATGGTGGAAGGAAGAGGTAAGCACTAGGCCTAGATAAAATATGCAGTCTCTATATTCATAATTGGAGTCCTGGTGAGGCATTGTTAAAACAAGCACTTAACTGCTAACTGAAAGGTCGGTGGTTCTAACCCACCAGCACTCCTTGGAAACAACACCTAACCTCAACATATTCATAATTGGGGCCATACTGATTTGGGTATATTCACTTACATCTGAAAGATACGACAGTACTACAAGTGAGTTTATAAAATATTCCTGTTTTCAAGAAATATCTGATTAAGTGAAAAAAAAAAACTTAATCCAGTATTTCTATTTTTAATCAAGTACCACATGTGCACATGACAGGCTAACATTTTCCAGCAAATACTGCTAAACATTATCCATTATTCACCACATTTAAGCTTCACAATAACCATTTGGAAGAAGCAAGCACCATTATCTCCATTTTACAGATATTGAAATAGAAGCCTAAAGAAGTTAATAACAGACTAAGATCACAGGGCTAACAAATACTGGAATTGAAAGCTAATCAAGGTCTAACTAACGCCCTACACCAAGATACACTGCCTTTGGAGTTAACAAGCACGCATATAAGTAAATCGGAGAGTTTAATCGTAAATGAAAACTTCTAAAGCACAGTGAAACTGACAAAGAACTTCGTTACACCCATAAGGGCCGAGTCCTGAGTTCTTGTGTATATACAAGTGAGTAATACAACACTCCGAGGAATTTGAAAGAGCCCAACGTCAGGGAGAACGTTCAAATCGCAACACGTTGGTGCTAATTACAAGAGTTACTGCGGGAAACCAATTTGGAATCTTCTGACTTGGAAGGCGAGGCAAATTGAAAGAAGAAGCACTTTGTATCCAGTGCTTCCAGACTGGATTCCGGGGCGCGTCCTTCCCCACGCGGCAAGAGTAGGCCGCCCTCTGTACAGTGGTCCCGCCAGTGGCAGGATGGCTTTGGGCTTCCTGGGCTAGCCCAATCCCCACACATACTCACCTTCTGTTCCTCCGCAGAGGCTGCCTCAGGGATTTCCGCGGACATAGTGCTCCCTCTGCAGACGAGACGCCGGGAAAAGATACGATTACGGGGTGGCCACGGCCATTCGGCTACCACCACCGCCGCCTCTGGCCCGCCCGCCGTCCGCCCGCCGGGGCTCTCCCGCGCCCGCCGGGGCTGCCCACGCCCGTAAAAATGGCCGCCGTCTTATGACGACATGGAGTCCCACGGCGACGGCGGCAGGCAGCGGACCCGGCCCGCCACGGTCCACCCGCACGGTACCCCCACCTACCTAACTCCGCTTCTCCGGCTCTGCGACGCCGAAGCACTTCCTTTTTTGCCTTCAAAGGTCGCGGCTCGCGCCTCACCTCACATCCGTCTGCGGCTGCGGGATGCTTACTGGGAATTGTAGTTTGTATATAGAATCTCCTCTCCACGCCCACTTCTGCCTACTCTGGTCCCTCTGGTCCAGGAACTTTACATTTTCCACTTCAGCCTCTCCTAATCCTTTCGCTCCGTTCTCGACTATTGTTGGGGAAGAGATATTTAAAGATGAAATATGCTTCCAACTAAAAAAACAAAAACAAACCTCTCCACGAATATATTTAAGAAAGTGTGTTGTTTTTTTTTTCATTTTTTAAAAATTGACTTAAGCATTAAACCAGAATGTGAAGCATCACAGGCAATCTACTAAAGAGAGTGCAAAGATAGAAGAACGAAATCGTATTTTATATAGCGGATTGGATTCCACTCATGACATCGCTGCTTAAGATCCCATTGCTAAGGAGTTGATCCTGATTTAGTGACTGCTAGGATCACTGGTAGCATAGTGGTTATGAATCGGCCTGCAAACCTCAAGGTCAGTAGTTCGAAACTACCAGCTGCTCCACTGCTCCCATAAAGATTTACAGCCTCGGAAACTCTGTACAGAGTCCGAACCGACTCCACAGCACACAACAACAACAAAGGACCGAGTAGAACTGCCCTAGAGGATTTCCTAGGCTAAAATATTTACTTAAGCAGATTGCCACATTGTTCTTTTGTGCAGTGACTGGTGGTTTCAAACCTCTGACCTTTCAGTTCACTGATCTTTTGCTTAGTAGTTACAGTGCCACCAGGAATCCTTATGTGTAACTTAGCACTTAACAATAACAGCAACCAGGATTGCTTATTTCCCATTAGTTTTATGGCAGGATCCCTGAAATGATGCTAATCTCCTCCCAGGACATTTTTTGAGCTTACTTGATTACTTTTCAAAGGATGGCTCCCAGGTCCTTGAGTAAACTTTATTTACATACTACTCAGAAAGACAGGGGAAAAAGAGGAAGACCCCCCAAAGAGGCTGATTGGCACAGTGGCAGCAGCAATGGACTCAGGAGTGGCAACGATTGTGAGGTTGGCACAGGACCAGACAGTGTTTCGTTTTATTGTGCATAGGGTTGCTATGAGTCAGTACCCACTTATGGGACCTAACAACAACAACAGAAAGACAAAGATTTTACCATTACAAATACTTAAAATGAAATCTGAAAGAACAGGAGAGAATTGATTTGAACAGGGAGAATTAAAACCTCGTTTTCAATTTGTATTTTTCCTTACTCTGTGCAAAACCATACAGGCCTTTTTTTTTGAGGCCTCCAAAGCTGCTTCACTCCACAAGTCTCTCCCCATCCCACTTCACCTACTTAAATCCATTCATTGTAAACATCTCCAATTCTACATCATGCTTTAAGTGAGCCTTTCCTCAGCCCCTATGTCGGACCCACCTGTTAAATGCTTATTCCTTACCAATACACATTGCATCTTTATACAGTACTATCCAACACCTCATTAATGTGACCTTTCCAGCTCAAATAAACCACACAATGGTTGTTGTTGCTAAGTGCCATGGAGTCAGTTCTGATTCATAGCGACTCTGTATAGGGTTTCCCAGGAGACACTGATAAGTTTGAGCCATCAACCTCAAGGTTAGCTTATCCTACAGCGCCACACCTATTGGACATGTCTGGGAAATCGTCCTTCTGCAAATAACATCCCTCTGCATCATTGTAAGGTGGTGCAGTGGGTTATGCATTGGATTGCTAACTGCAAGGTTGGTGGTTTAAGCCCATCAGCTGCTCCAGGGAAGAAAGATAAGGCAGTCTGCTTCTATAAAGATTTACAGCCTCAGGTAGGGACCTCATATATATTCCTTTTTCAAGTGTTGTTAACTGTCGTTAAGTCGGTTCTTATTCATAGCGACCCTGGTTTTCAAGGAGGAGTTGGTGAGCTTGAACTGCCGACCTTGTGGTTCACAGTCCAGCGCTGATCTTACAATGCCACACCAGGAGCCCTAGTCCTTGGTTTAAGATGGGGTGCTGTTCTGATGACTCTGTTGTAAGCTGTTTATGACTTCAGTAGAATACCTCCCTTTTTTATTTTTTACTTTTCATATTGCCATTTATTATCAATATCTTTAGGAATATGATTTTAAATTATTTTGAAATTGGCATGAGAATAATACCAGCAAATTACACACCAACATTGTATGCAGTACAAATGCTAACCACCAAATGGACCACAAAAAACGTGTAACTTGGTATGCCTTGCTGGAATAAGTCATAAGTCAGTGATTACCAGTATTTCGCTCACAGAACCTAACATTTTATAGTTCCTCTGTACCTCATGAAAGAATTCAATTTCCATTCTACCTAGTCCTGGTGTGGCACTGTAGGATAAGCACTGGACTGCTAACTACAAGGTTGGCAATTCAAACCCACCTTCTGTCCTTAGGAAGCCCTACACACGGTTGTTATGAGTCAGAACTGATTCAACCGTACTTAACAACCATCTAATCCTGGTGTGGCGCTGTGGGTTGATGTGCTAGACTGCACAGTCAGTTTGGACCACAAGGTCAGTGGTTCAAGCTCACCAGCCGCTCCTCGGAAACCCTCTACAGGGTCGCTATGGGTCGGAACCAACTCAATGGCACTTAACAACAACAACAATACAATTCTGGAGTCCTGGTGTGGTGCTGTAGGCTAGTGTGTTGGACTGTAAAGTCACTTTGACCCACAAAATCAGCAGTTCAAGCTCACCAGCTGCACTTTGGAAACCCTATACAGGGTCACTATGGGTTAGAACTGACTCAATGACACTTAACAACAAGAATACTATCCTGGGGTCCACCCACAACTTTACTGAAACTGCCGGCACCAAGCTTCTTAATGACACTCTTTCTTACCAAATCTTGTGATTTATTTAATCATTATTCTTGACATCTGAGTGTTGTTGTTAAGTGCCTTCAAATTGGTTCTGACTCATAGCAACCCTGTATAGGATTTATGAGGAGCATCTGGTGGGTTTGAACCACCAAATTGCAGCTAGCAATTCAGTACTTATCCTACAGAGTGACACCAGGACTCCTGACATTTGAATTGTTATTGTTGTTAACTGTCATCATGTCAGTTCCGACCCATAGCTACCCTGTATAGGGTTTCCAAGGAACAGATGGTGAGCTTGAACCGCTGACCTTGCAGTTCAAACCGACTTTGCAGTACGGCGTGTTAACCCATAGCACCACACCAGGACTCAGACATCTGAAAAGCTATTGGAAATAACATGATATTTCCAAAGAAGTATGCCCCTAGAAACTTGGAAATACGATTACCCTTCAGGAGTTAAAAATTAGAAAAAGCCACAGATTATGGATGTAATTTGAGAAGGAGAGCAGGAAAATCTAAAGACCCTAAGTGACTAGATAAAGAATCTGGAAACCTTAAAACTCAACCAGGGTGTCCTGGGTAGTGTCTCAGAGATGAAAAATTATACTGAAATTGCAACTTGAATTGCAAAAACAATGATATTGCATTCCTTTGGGAGAAAGAAAGGGGTTGGTCAGCTAAAGAAGTACTTAGTATAAAGTGTTATAAGAGTCACCAAGGATGACCAATGACAGTACCTCCAGCTGGGCCAGCACAGAAACTTTGCAAGAACAACTAAAGTATTGATTCTTATTCCAATCCTACCTTCTGAAAATCTGCCTTCCCTTTTAGCAGAACTACAGGGAGAAAGGAAAATGTACTGGCTGGAGCATCTAACAGTTTGTGTTTTTACTAATAAATCAGCATTCTAACATATATCTCATATCAGTGCAGTTGTGAGCTTGGGTTAAAATCTGTGAGCCATAACACATAGAAAATCAACCTATGGGACCTTGGGTACAGAAATTCTGTTACTGACAGATAGCAACACTTGCAAGAGGGGACATTTAAATTTCTGGGGGCTGACTTGGATCAATGATGAACTCACCAAGGTCCATGTCCCTTTGTAGGGACGTGTCTGGGAAGTCATCCTTCCACAAATAACACTCCTCTGCATCATCATAAGGCGGTGCAGTGGGTTTAGCATTTGGGCAGCTAACTGAAAGGTAGGTGGTTTGAACCCACCAGCTGCCCCTGGGAAGAAAGATGAAGCAGTCTTCTCCTACAAAGATTTACAACCTTGGAAACACTATAAAGCAGTTCTACTTGGTCCTGTAGGGTCACTGGGAGTCAGAATTGACTCAATGGCAGTAGGTTAGTGAGACATCATCACAAGCCATAGTCTGTGTTTTAAATTGCAAGCTGATCACCAATGGCCCATTGCTTAAAATTCTCTTGACCTCTAGGATACTCTTTGGTGCTTCCCCTCCTGCTTCTCTGGCCATTTCTTTTCAATCTCCTTTTTTGAGTCTTTGCCTGACCCTAATGAGATGGAGGGGAGTCCTGGTGTGGCACTGTGAGGTAATGCGCTGGACTGCAAAGTCCATTTGAACTGCAAGGTCGGTGGTTCAAGCTCACCAGCTGCTCTTCGGAAACCCTATACAGGCTTGCTATGAGTCTTAACTGACTCGACGGCACTTAACAACAATGAGATGGAGGAGTCCTGGTGTGGCACTGTGGGTTAATGTGTTAGATTATAAAGTCGGTTTGAACCACAAGGTTGGTGGTTCAAGCTCACCAGCTGTTCCTTGGAAACCCTATACAGGGTCCCTATGGTCAGAAACGACTTGATGGCACTTACCAATG